TTTTTTTTTTTTTTATTCTTTTTTTTTTTCTTTTTTTTTTTACACACCCAACTATCATATACTTTTTGAGTTTGTCTGTGTTATAGAGATTTACTTATATATATTGATAGATAGAGATATAGAGAGATAGTTAGTTAGAGAGAGAGAGAGAGAGAGAGTGAGATAGAGAGAGAGAGAGAGAGATAGAGTGAGCCAGACTGACAGAGAGAGATTGAGATACAGTGACAGATAGAGAGAGAGAGATTTACAGTCAGACAGAGAGACTGAGAGACAGCGAGACAGAGAGACAGCGAGACAGACATAGAGAGAGAGAGAGACAGAGAGACAGCGAGACAGAGAGACATCGAGACAGACAGAGAGAGAGACAGAGAGAGAGAGAGAGAGAGAGACAGACAGAGAGAGAGAGAGAGACAGACAGACAGAGAGACAGAGAGACAGCGAGACAGACAGAGAGAGAGAGACAGAGAGAGAGACAGAGAGAGACAGGAGAGAGAGAGAGAGAGAGAGACAGAGAGAGACAGAGAGAGAGAGACAGAGAGAGAGAGAGACAGACAGACAGAGAGACAGAGAGACAGCGAGACAGACAGAGAGAGAGAGAGACAGAGAGAGAGACAGAGAGAGAGAGACAGAGAGAGACAGAGAGAGAGAGACAGAGAGAGACAGAGAGAGACAGAGAGAGAGAGAGAGAGGAACACACACGCGGCAGTGGTTCATACGTTGTCGTCTGCCGAGACGGCTGGAGTTGAGGAATGAGAACCAGAAGAGGAAGTCACCAAGGCGCAGCTTGAACCAGAAACAGCAGTCTTGCGAACGACAACAAGCGCGACCACAGCAGCGACCACGACGACCAAGACGCCAACGACGATGCCGGCAACTGCGCCGCCGGAGAGAGCACTGCTCGACGACGAAGCGGGAGGGCCGCCCTGGCCACCACCACGCCCATCCCCCGACGTGGTGGTGCTTGCCAGCATTGTTGTTGTCGTCCGCGTGCGCGGCGTGGTGACGGGCTTGCCGAGGAAGTCGCTGTGGTCAACCGTGGTGCGTGGCGGGGACGGGTACCGAGGCTTGGTAGCATAAGCGTTTGTCGTCGTCGTTGTTGTTTTGGGGGGCCTGTATGGGCGCGTGGTTGTCGTGGTTGGCGGTTGACGAGTTGTCGTGTATGCGGGCGTTGGCGGTGGCGTCTTGCTTGCTGTCGTTGATCGTGTGTAAGGGCGTGGCGGTGTTGGCGATGACGGGCTGCTTGGCGTGTACGCAGTTGTAGAGCCTGCACACTCCTCCGTCCACGTGCATTCCGAGTTGTACGCGCACGCTGCCTCGTCCTGTATGTGTATGTGTGTGTGTTTGGGCGAGAGAGTGTGTGAGAGAGACAGAGTGAGAGAGTGTGCGAGTGGGTGTGTGGATGAGTAAGTGAGAGTGTGTGTGCGAGTATGTGTGAAAAGGAACATGTTGAAAGGCAGCAGCATGCCAAAGTGTAGTGATGCATACACACGTTCACTTCATACATACATTCATACGCACATAGCACACAACACACCCAACTCTCGCACTCTCGCACACATTGCACACACTTGGACCCGCATGTACCGTGATGTAGGAGCAGTGGTGGGGTTCGGGGCGGCAGAAGCCAGTGTAGTCCCAAACACAGCCGTCGTGTGCCTCACACTGCGCCTGATACGCGTAGTCGCACGACACGGGATAGGTGGGCTCACACCTGCCAGCTGCCTCGCACGCCGTTGTGGGGCAGTCCTCAACCAGCATGCAGTGTTCATAATACACACATGAGTCGACCTGGATGTGATGGGCAGAAGAAAGGTGTGTTAAGGTGGTGTGAGCAGCAGCAATTCAAGGCCTGCGTATCTCGCAGGACGACTGACGGCTTTTTACACACGCACACACGTACACGCACACGCAAACACACACACACACACTAACAGACACACACACACACACACTTGCCCATGCACGCACCGGTCTGTTGCTACAGCCCATGTCCACCTCGACGCAGGTGCTGGTGTAATCCCATTCGCATGCAGCCTCCGCCTGACACTCCTGCGGGCTATACAGCTGTGAGCATGGCTTGGGCCTGTCCACACACGTGGATGCGCAACGTGAGCGGGTTGTCTGTTTCGGGTGTTTTGTCGTGGGCCTTCTCGTCGTTGTTGGTGGCGGTGGTGGTGGTGGTGGTGATGGGGTTGTTGTTGGTGGTGGCGGTGGTGGTGGTGGTGATGGGGTTGTTGTTGGTGGTGGTGTTGGTGGTGGTGGTGATGGGGTTGTTGTTGTTGGCGGCGGCGGTGGTGGTGGTGATGGGGTTGTTGTTGGTGGCGGCGGTGGTGGTGGTGATGGGGTTGTTGTTGGTGGTGGTGTTGGTGGTGGTGGTGATGGGGTTGTTGTTGGTGGCGGTGGCGGTGGCGGTTGGGATTGGGTTGTCGTCGTCAACATCATTGTTGTTGTTGTCGTTGAAGTAGTGCGTGCGGTAGTTGTTGTCGAACTCGTGGTTGATGTTGTGGTACTCGTGGTTGTTGTTGTGGTCGACGTTGTGGTGGTGGTGGTGGTCATGGTCGTGGTGGAAGTCATTGTTGTGCTGGGGCAGTCGCCAACAAGCATGCAGTGTGGGTTTGGCTCGCATGCCACCAGCTATGATGCACGCCAGAGAATGTGGGTGAGGTGGTGCACAACTCAAATGCCCAGTGCAGGGGCTTGCACGGCACACACACACACACACACACACACACACACACACACACACACACACACACACACACACGAGATATGATTCAGAGAGACACACGCTTCGCATTCACGTGACACAAGGCACAGCAGATAGAATAAGAGCAACATGGTGCGACTCACGGGGAGCATGTCGCAGCCCATGTTTGCTTGTTGACAGCCGGGCTCGGCTGGTCCAGAGATCCATTCGCAGGCGTCCACGGCAGTGCAGGAGGCTTGGTCGGGGAGGTTGCAGTCAAACGGTGCGCGCACGCACACGCAGCCAGATTCAGTTGTTGTTGTTGTTGTTGTTGTTGTTGTTGTTGTTGTTGTTGTTGTTGTTGTTGTTGTTGTTGTTGTTGTTGTTGTTGTTGTTGTTGTTGCTGTTGTTGTTGTTGTTGTTGTTGTTGTTGTTGTTGTTGTTGTTGTTGTTGTTGTTGTTGTTGTTGTTGTTGTTGCTGTAGCAGTAGTAGTAGTTGTTGTTGTTGTTGTTGTCGTCGTCATCGTTGTCGTCATCGTAGTCGTTGTGGTTGTTGTTGTTGTTGTGGTACTCGTGGTTGTGGTACTCGTGGTTATTGTTGTTGTGGTGGTACTCATGGTTGTTGTCGTCGTCGTCGTCGTGCTTGCGCAGTTGCCCACAAGCATACAGTGTGGATTGGGCCCACACGCCACCAGCTGTTACAAAGAAAGACAAAGGAAATAGCGCAGACCAAGTCAGGGCAATGAGGTGAGAAGCCAGGCATGGCAAATGTACACTTAGTGAGCAGGATGCAAGCGCCAGGAACTACTACATGGGAGTATCCGCAACACACGTGCATGACGCGAGCGAGCAAAGACTCGACGAGGATGTCAGGAAGGTGCGACTCACGGGGAGCATGTCGCAGCCCATGTTTGCTTGTTGACAGCCGGGCTCGGCTGGTCCAGAGATCCATTCGCAGGCGTCCACGGCAGTGCAGGAGGCTTGGTCGGGGAGGTTGCAGTCAAACGGTGCGCGCACGCACGTGCAGTCAGCTGGCGTCGTAGAAGCGGTGGTTGACGTCTGGGCTAGCGCGGGGTTGGAGCAAGCCAACAGGCACAGCACTGCCACGCAACCAACTGCAGCTTGAATCGTCGGTTTGCCCATGACGGTCCGATGCGCTGGTGAATGCGAGAGAATCTGGCGCCGAAGGCAAGACCAGCATCCACAGCAGCCAACACAGCAGAAGGCTGTCCGTTGCAGTGGTGGTCGCGGTGTTGGTCGGCTGGCTCGTTCGTTGGTTGGTGCTTTGGCGACAGGCGGTGCTTTGTTGTTGGTTGGTTGGTTGGTTGGTTGGTTGGTTGGTTGGTTGGTGATGTTGGTGTTCTGATTCCTGTCGTTCCCGTGTAGGTGCTTCTTCGGTGGTTCGCTGGTCTCCTCACGAGCTTCAGTTGGACCAACTGCGTGGGGCGGTCTGTGTTGCCTGTCTTGGTCTGTGTTGCCTGTCTTGTCAGCCTTGGAAGTGGTCGGCACTCAGGAAAATGAACCAAACACTCGCACCAACGCACCAACACACCAGCTCCCGTCAGTCTGGTCATGTCTCACTCTCACGCGCTGGGTTGCTGTGCTTGCGGCCACACTCCTTCACAGCCCGTGCCCTACCATGCCTCTGCGCCGCCGTCACGCGCGCAGGCACGCACCACGAGATCACGAGAACGCGTGCCTGTGCGCGGTTGGTTGGTGCCGCTGTCTGATGCATCAGCTAGCTGGTGCTGATGCACGTGGGAACCAGTCATCGTTGTGATTGTTCCATCACCTCCAAAGACAGGTGCTTGTGTCTCACTGGTAAAGGGTAGAGTGTGCCAGTGGTATGCAACCCAACCAGAAACTGAAGAGAAGAAGGGGATGTGCCGTCTCTGCAGGGCCGTGACTTGCAGGTTCGGTCAGCCTGTTTCCCAGGGAACGCTGAAACGTGGAGAAGAGATGTGACAACGCCTTCGCTGGCAAGGGGGGTACGTGCCAATTTGTCGGGGCCACTGCTGCTGTTACCTCTGCTGCTGCTGCTGCTGCTGCATTCATCAGCATGTGGTGTGAGGACTTGTGTGCTGAGGGAGGGATGGAGGGAGTTTGAGGTGTGTACGCCAGGATCGTTGTGAAGTGAAGAGACGTGGTGTACGAAGAACATGAAGTCTGGAGGGGCGAATGCTTGTTTGCTCTTCTTGGGGCTTGGGGATCTGGTACGTTCTGCGTCCTGCTTGATGTTCTTGTCTTCTGAGGGGGATCACATGAGCTCCAACTCGTGCTTGTAGCCTTGAGGCAAGGGCACGTGCTGCGTGTGCTGCTGCATGCCCACGTGCAAACACAGAAACAGCTCATCAGAGAGCAGAGCAGAACAAAGCCGGGGCTCAAACAGCCCTCAGACCTCAGCAGCAGCAGCAGCAGCACGAACTCTGGTGCAGTCATGGGTGATGTTCCGTGTCTTGATGTTGTTGCGCGGGGGCAAGACAGTGAGCTGCGTGGTCTCGTGCCCAAACGCAGAAACGTGTCCCATCCCACAAGAGCGCATCAGACTAAGATGCGGAGGCGTGCAGGGGCCTAACGTGTTTCTCGCGCGCGTGCGTGCTGTGCGTGTCAAGAAACAAGAAGAGGCACGTGTACCAGTCTACCAGTGACATGAGGAGGAAATGGAGTCTTGGAGTGACCAATTACAAATCTGAAAGATGATGTGATGTGACAATCATGCCTTCACGTGCCGGAGGGAAGTGGGAGCAATCAACCGTGCAGAAGCGCAGAAGCGCAGAAGCGTACGAACACCCACATCACAGCTTGCTTGAGAGCTTTTGTTGCACTGGCACTGAGGGGAGACGCATGCGTGCGTGGTGTGCGTTGCGTGCGTTTCAAAAACACGCAGAAACATCAACCCTGTCCTCTTGTCATAAATATAGGACGGGATGGCTTGCAAACGCTTTGTTGCTTCTTTGCTTTTGCTCCTGACTTGCTGAGTTGATTTGCTGAGTTGACTTGCTGAGTTGACTTGCATTGAAGTTGGCTTGCTTGTTGGAAGGCTCCATACACACACAGACACGCACGCACGCACACACACACACACATGCACACACAAACACACACAAACACACACACACACACAAACACACACACAAACAAACACATGCGGCGGCAAGCAAGGAAGCAACGAAAGCGAGACCATATTGTGACGCAATCAACGCACGGAACGCACGTAATGAAACAACAACACACCGCACGCATCCTTCTCCATTGATCTAGGCAGGAGTGATGCCCTTGGCGCGCATAAAGGACTCAAACTGTCCTGGAACCTCTGCAAGCACGGCGCTGGCAAGTGCTGCTTGCGAGTCGGGGCGGGTGCTGTATTGGCTGCACGAAAAAAGAGCAGACGCCAGTGGTGTGAGTGATGTCGTGGTAGTGGAGGCACACATCGCGTATTGTTATGATGGTGGCGGCATATGATGTCGGTGAAGACAACCAAGCGGGGTCTTCGTTGTGGGACGTGCAAGAACGACGCCTCGCAGCTACCAAACAACGCACAAGAGACGGCAGCCACAATAAACACACACGCACACAAAGGAAGAACAACATACTTGAATGGGACGAACTGCACAATGTCGCGCACGGCGTCTCTGCCGCCGTAGGAGAGCGGCTGAACATCTGCATCCAGGAAACTCATGGCGGAGAAGTCTGCATTTCCAACCCCAACGATGATGATGGACATGGGCAGGTGCGAAGCCTGCGCACACACGCAATGGTGTGGGTGGCACCACGTGCCGGGCGTTGTTCGCGGTCGCGGGTGAGAACACACGCCTTGAAGAGTGCATGAATTACGAGAACAAGTTCCATCCGCAAAGAAAAGAAAGGAAAGCAAGCAAGAAAGCAAGACGGAAAGAAAGAAAACCATAGCTTCACATCAATGCCCTCTTCTTGCGCATGTGAGCGAAGGGCAGCAGCGTACATCAACAATGGCTTTGGTTGTCGCATCCATATCTGAGATGACACCGTCCGTGATGATCAGCAGCACGTAGTAAGACTTGTCCTCAGGGTTGACCGCAAACCTGTGTGTACATGTGTGTGTGTGTGAATAAGACGAGCGAGTTCATGCGCCAGTAGTCAGCCATTCTTTGTGGATGTTATTACCGTCCACGCAACTGCATGAGCCACACATGCACACCGTCACAACCGACCGAGCGACGTGGTTGATGATGGGCGCCATGTTTGTTGGGCCATACAGCTCAACGTTCTGGAGCGTGGCCTGGTACATGGCAAGAAGACCTGCGGGGTAAACAGAAGCGTGTTGGGAAGGCAATGGGTGGTCGTGCTGTTGAGGTTGTGACTGAGAGGAAGGGGGAGGGGGCAAGTCGGCAGACAGATGTCGACAAACAGACAGACAGACAGACAGACAGACAGACAGACAGACGGACAGACAGACAGACACACACACACACACACACACACACACACGCACGCACGCACAGACACACACACACACACACACACACCCTTACCTTGCACGCCCTGGCAGTACGGGTTTGCTGGATCGCCCGTCAGCGGGTGCTCCATGGAGACCTGCCCGCGGTAGCGACAGCCAAACGCAAACGCAGGAAAGTACTTGTCGCTGTTGCCCGAGAAACGCGCGTGTGAGTGAGGGTAAGATGTACGTGCATGTGTGAGTGAGCGTGGGTGAGGTGGAGAGGAATGCGTCACGAAACAAGTAAGTCAGCCAACAAAGGAGTAAGGAAGCAAGAAAGCATGCAAGAAAGCAAGCAAGAAAGCAAGGGAGGAAAGTCAGCAAGTGCTGCTGACATGGGCAGCATCACCACGTCATCACACGTGACATGTGACACGCCACACGGCATAGAAGAGGGACCACGCACGCGTCGTAGTCGCTGATGATGGTGCCGACAGATTGGATTGCCTGCATGTACGCGTTGGGGCGGCTTGGGTTCATGTAATGCAGCGACGAGGGCAGGTCGGGTCGCCCGTTGGACGCTGTCATGTCCACAGCAACCTGCGCACAAACATTCATGTATGTACGTGAGTGAGTGTGTGTGTGTGTGTGTGTGTGTGTGTGTGTGTGTGTACGTGTGTGGCTGTGTGTGTGGCTGTGTGTATGTGTGTGGTTGAGGGATAAGGTGGCAGCGCAAGTAGGCGACGGCTGCTGTTGAGAGCACTGCATCGCAGCGCGCGCACCGTGAAGTTCATCTTGAAGCCCGCACGGAGGTAGTCTTGATTGGAGACAAGCAGCAGGGGTGGCGAGCGTGTGAGGACGACGAGGAGGGACAGCGAAGCAAAGCAGCTCACACATGGGTACACAGATACAAATGTCAATACACACACAACACATGGAGGCAGATGTACACCAACACACGAAGTCAAAGGGCCACGGAGAGCGTGTACGATGTTGCCATTACGGCGTGCGTGATAGCACATACGCACCGATGAACGAGAAGGTGGGGACGATCTCAACACTGGGGAGTTGGGAGCAGTACATGTGTACAGCATCGTATGAGAAGGAGAAAGGCAGAAGGTGCCAGGAATGGTGGTGGTCGTGGTTGTCGTGGTCGAGAGGAAAAGGAGAGGAGGAGAGGGACTGCAGCAGGGGGAGGAAGGCCCTCAGAACAAAATAGAATGGCGCAGAGCCCCACACACACACACACACACACACACACACACACACACACACACACATACACACACACAAATACACACACACATGTGATGTACACATACTCCGGCTACTGGGAGGCGTGAGTGTACCTGTCGAAGACGAGAGTGCCGGAGTTGGTGTACTTCTTCTTCTTCGCTGCTTTCTTCGCGTTGATGAGCTGTGGACAAGAGGCAGAGAGAGGACGTGTGTGTGTGTGTGTGTGCGTGTGTGCGTGTGTTTGTGTGTGTGTGTGTGTGTGTGTGTGTGTGTGTGTGTGTGTGTGTGTGAATGGTTGAGCGGACGAGAGAGACAGAAATCAACCGACTCGAGCGCGCCCGTATGTGAACGGCTTTGCTTCCAGCGAATAACCCCCCCCCTACCCACACACACACACACAACTCACACCGACCTCGAGGGTGCTGCCCTTGGTGGCGATGAGGTCATTGAGCGTCGACTCTGCAGATCCAATCAGATCGTGCCCGCCATCGGAGTCCCAATCAAACACGTCAAACTGGTGCACGCAGCACAGCAGTACAGCAGTAGTGTAGCACAGCAGAGAACACCACCGCGAGTGCGTGAGCGTGCAATCGTTTTCGTCGCAAAGCACACATATGTGTTTGCACGCCAACACGTCCACGCGATGACACACACTATGTGTGTGAATGTGTGAACTCTTCACCCTTGCTGGCATGGCACCCCGCATTCATTCACACATGTACGCATGCACACACGCACACACACACACACACACACACACACATGTGCAGCAACGCACGACCACACGGCGGCTGCCAGCATCGGCACCTTGAGGGGACGCGTGTAGTCGCCATTGCAGAGTTCGCCGACAGTGATGGTGAAGGGTCGCCAGGTCGGATCAAGCGTCTTCTTCACAACCTGCAGCAGCCGGTCGTGGTGGTGGTGGTGGTCGTCGTCGTCGTCGTCGTGTAAGAGGAAGAAGAGAGGGTTGTGTGTGAGGATGAGCAATAATGTGACAATAATGTGACACACACGCACACATACACATACATGCACACGCACACACTCGCAGTGTGAACATGTAGTCGCGTAAACGGCTGTGAAGATAGCATGGAGCAAAGAAGGGCGCATCGAGCAGCGCTCACCTCTGTTGTATGAACGCGGACCCATCCTGTCGCCGACTGGCGGGAGATGGTGATGAAAGGGTCAGATTTGCCTGCAGGCACAAGCGCGAGCACAAGCAAGGCGAGTTGAGTGGAAGCGATGGTTGTTCCAAAAAGCATGTGGGCGTTTGTGTGTGTATGTGCGTGTGCATGTGTGTGTGTGTGTATGCGTGTGCATGTGTGTGTGTGTATGTACGTGTGCATGTGTGTGTGTGTTTGCGTGTGCATGTGTGTATGTATGTGTGTGTGGGTTCTCTACAATCCAATCCCTGCCTCACTCCAACCGCACCGAAGAAGTCTTTCTTGTCGAGGCCAACACCGTGCGCCTTGAACGAGACATCGCCCTTGGCCTGGCGATCCTCCTCCGCATTCACTGTGATCGAGCCAGAGGTTTTGCCGCCCCGCGTATTCTTCAGCACCTGCAGCCACGCATGTGTTGTGTGAGTTGTTGTGTGTTATGGTGAAGAGAGAAGCAGTTGTGTCAGGCTCGCTGGTCAAGCCAGATGTGATGTGCAGCGTGAACTCGGGAACCACCAACCAAAGACGCAGACAAGCCACAGACAAGCCACACACACACACACACATACACACACACACACACACACACACACACACACACACACACACACACACATACACGTACTCGCAGAGTGCTCATGAGCGGGAGTGTCACGTACACGCAGAAGCGGAGATCCTGCACAGATTCAAAGTAGTAGTCGATGTCGACTTCGTCAGCGAACTTTGGGTTTGAATCGTTCTTGATCACCTCCGTCCGACCAATCTGTCGCGTTTCGTAAGCCATGGGAGCGAGACAGGTGGCGCAGCGGGAGTAGCATATATGAGGGAGAGTGTGTTGAGGAGGGAGGGGAGGCGGCAAGGCGCAAACAAGCAAAGAGAATTGGACATCACACAATGAGAGAGCATGCACAAAGACACAGACACACAGATACACACACACACACACATACACACGGACAGACAGACAGACAGACAGACAGACAGACAGACAGACAGACAGACAGACAGACAGACAGACAGATGCATACACACACAGAGACACACACGCACACACACACACACACATACATACACACACACACACACACACGCACGCACACACACACACACACACACACACACCGACCTCGACGTAGCCGCTGGGTGATGCCAGGAGAACGACCACAAAGGGGTCCGACTTGGACAAGGCATCTGCGCGCTTCAAGTGGGAGCACGAGATGTGCAGCTGCAGTCGCGAGTGGGGGGCGGCACTCATGTTGTGTCCTCTGTTGATGTTGATGTGTGTGTGTGAGTGTGCAATCCGGGGTCGTTGCTTCTTGTCCTCCTGTCTTGTGTGCTGTTGTTTGGATTTTCACCACTCCAACAACAACCCATACACGAGAGAAGCAAGACTGCGGTTTGTGACTGTGTGTGCAGAGCCACTCAACTCCCTCACCCAACTCACGCTCGTCGCTTGCTGCGTGCTTCTTCGAGCCAGCCTCTCGCTTTCCCCCTTCCCCTCCGTCAACCCCCTGGTTTGCGCTGCGGTAATGGTGGGATGACGTCGCTGAGAGCCGTGCTACCGGACGACTCGAGCGCGCTGTGGCGCTCGTCGTGGTCCAACGATGCTGTTTCAGACCCCCGCTTCGCTGTGGAGATGCGCGTGCGGCACGTCGCCATTCGCGACACAGTCGTCGTCATCGACAGCAAAGGAGAGCACGTGGTGCGTCACTACGTGTGTGTGTGTGTGTCTGTGTGTGTGTCTGTGTGTGTGTTTGTATGAGTGTTTGAGTGTATGAGTGTGTGTGTGTGTGTGCGCGCGTATGAGTGTGCGTGCGTGTGTGTTGCCTGCTTGGTTGCTTTGCGTGTGCCTGCCTTTCCTGGGCACCCAACACGGACACCGGACACCAACACGCACCCACACTCCGACACACGTGCAGGAGTACAAGATTGAGGTCATGACGCAGACGTTCCAGTGGTTTGTGTTTCATCGCTACTCCGAGTTTGTGGCCCTGCACAAGGAGCTGGTGAAGCTGTTTGACCTGAAGCGAGACATGCTGCCCTCCAAGCGCATGACTGGTACACACCCTGCAGAGTTGTGTGTGTGTGTGTGTGTGTGTGTGTGTGTGTGTGTGTGTGTGTGTGTGTGTGTGTGTGTGTGTGTTTGCCGGTTTGAACTGCCAACGAAGCCATGGTTCTTCGTTGCTTGTCCGCAACCGTTTGCCAAGCCACGCTGCGTCTCCTTCACCAGCCGTCCGTGTCCCATGCACCGTTTGCATCCTTCAGGCAACCTGGCGTCGAGCGTTATCAAGGACCGCCAGTTTGCGCTGCAGCGCTACCTGCAGCGTCTCATCAACAGCCATCCAGAGCTCCTTTTCTCCAAGCCGCTCCTCGACTTTCTCGACGTCCTCAAGCACGATGTCATTGCCGTCGCCGGCAAACTCGCAAAGTGCGTTATGTGTGTGTCTGTCTGTGTGTGTGTCTGTGCGTCTGTGTCTGTGTGTGTGTGTGTGTGTGTGGTATGGATGACACCGCTACCCTTGGGTGAGTTTGCTGGTGCGTTTTGCTGCTGCTGCTTCTCACACCACTCCATTTGCCGCACTGTTCATGCAGGCACTTTCGAGAACACGGTGACGAGGTGCTGCGCCAGCACAAACCAATCCACCTCACCCCAAACCAGTGCAGATGCGCCGCCAAGCGCCGGCACCTGCCCATGGACGCGCACGTGCGTTGCAATCGGTGGACATGAGGCCTTGTTTCACACACCAGCACACCTGCGTGCGTGTGTTGTGTTGTGGGTGTCAAAAGGGCGTGTCGCACTTCGTTCTCACATGCGTTCACGCACCCACCCACCTTCACCACACACGCACACACACACACACACACACACACACACACACACACACACACACATGCATCTCCATGGCCGTCACGACTCCGCCCGTTGTCCCTTCAGGTGCCGCCCGAGGTGGCGACGGAACCGCTGTCCGCATACGGCCATCCATCGTTTCTTCCAGACCTCTTTGAAATCTGCCAGCGCATGACGCAACTTGTCGTTGCGCCGCGGAAACTCAAAGGCGCACGCCAGCCAGGTCCGAGCAATCGCCGTGGTGGTGGTGGTGGTGGTGGTGGTGGTGGTGGTGGTGGTGGTGGTGGTGGTGGTGGTGGTGGTGGTGGTGGTTGTTGTTGTTGTTATGGGGCCAAGGGGTGATGATGATGATGATGATGATGATGATGATGATGATGATGATGATGATGATGATGATGATGATGATGATGATGATGATGATGATGATGATGATGATGAAGGATGAGGTTGGTGGTGGAGGTGGTGTTGACTGATGAACGAGCACATGTTGACGTGATCAATGTGCTGCTCAATGTTCACGTCCCGTTTGTCGCTGCTGTCGTGTTTGTGTGTTTGTGTGTTTGTGTGTTTGCATGTGTGTGTGTGTGTGCAGAGGTGTACACTGACGATTCCTCCATCGATCTGAGCGTGTTCCCGTCCCTCACTTTCCTCGAGGTGTGCACACACAGCACGCGTGTGCGTGCGTGCGGCTATGTGAACGTGTATGTGCTGAGTGTTATGTGTATGTGTATGTACGTTTGTAGCTGTATGCGTCATCCCGCTCTTATCTGTTTGTCTACGTGTACCTTCATGTACACTCCTTTGTGGATGTGTGCGATTGTGTGGTCATGCACCAACATCCTTTTTCGACGCCGATTCGCCTTGATCGCTGGCGACTCTGACTTCGGTCACGTCATCACCACCACCCCCAGATATTCTATGTGCCCTGCACGAAGATCCACCACCTCAACACCGTTCAGCGCTCGCTCAGACACCTCAAGTACGTGCAACCAACTGCGCGTCTATGGCGTTTGATCTGTGTGGCAACATGATCTTCCCGTCCTTATCGCACGCACACACACACGCACGCACATACGCACACACACACTCTCTCTCACACGTACGCACACACACACACATACGCATACGCACACGCACATACGCGCACACGTGTCACATAGGGTGTCGCGGTGTCAGGTGCAGAGCCTGCGCTACATCCTGGCAGATGCGGTGACGGTACGAACGGGTCCGATCAAACCAACAGCCACCGGTGTCGACTCCTGGCGCGTGCTTGCTGTCAGCCGCCTCTCTGCTCACAAGCGCATACTTCGAAGGTTGTATCACATCGACCTCGCATGCTGCCTGCCAGCTGTCCTTCTTTGTTTGCTTTTGTTTGTTTGTGTTTGCTTTTGTTTGCTTTTGTGTGGTTGTCTTGTTACTGGTTTGCACTCACACACAAGCATGCACGGGTTGTGTGATCTGGCAGATGGGAGAGCTTGGAGCACTTGAACCTGAGCTACAACCAGTGGGTTATGCCTTGTTCTTCTTGAACGCTGCTGTCACGCCTACACCCATCAACACACATGCTCACTTACACACACACACACACACACCGTCTCATCCGTACACATACTCTATCACGCCGTAACACATGCAGGATCCACACCGTCGACCCGTCCTGTCTTGAGCTTGTTCCACTGCTGGAAGTCCTCAACCTCTCGTGCAACAACATGGTGGACATCAACACATGGCTTTATCGCGTACGTCTCACCATCTTTTCAGCCAACGTGTCTCGATGCTCTCACTTGCATGCACGCATGCACGCATCCACATACTTACCCACACCCCCAACAAACACACACACACACTCACACACTCCCTCTTCTCTCTCTCTCGCTCACACACACACGCATCCTCAATGTTGCTCATCGTGTGTTGTGATGGATGGTGTCTGCTGGCTCAGGGCACACCGCTGGCGCGATTGCGCAAGCTGGACATGTCATTCAACGACATTACAACACTCGTTGCACCCTCTCCAGAAGAGTGCGTTTGAGTGGCTTGTATAATGACAACTGTGACACCACGCAACCTGGTGTATGTGTGCCTGTGTGTGTCTGTGTGTGTGTATGTGTGTGTGTGTGTGTTTTCGGCTCACCACCGTCCTTTTTTATTTTTGGCCTGCATGCAATCCATGGCAGGTTGGCCGCATTTCCTTCTCGGCGCCTCAACTCATTCAACAGGTGCGAACATATCCAATTGCTGGCATGTGCACGTTGTTCGTGTGTGTGTGTGTGCGTGCGTGTGTGCGTGCGTGTGCGTGTTTTATTTCCCTTGCCTCGGGCATTACTGCATCCTCACGCTGTCTCGTACTTGAACGATTCAAACGCGCACATGCGCACAACCATACCACCAACCGCTCAATCCCTCTCGATTACAGACGAACGCCGCCAGGCACGCCAGGGATTGCGAAACCAATTCACGTCTCTGCAGGGTGTGTTCGCTCCCTTGGCTCTTGCACCCGCCCGACAACAGAGGAGGGGGGGGGTGCGTGATATGCTCGCTACTCTTTCCCCTGTCTCAACTCACCTCCGCGCCACACACCGCCACAACGCCATGTGCTGTGCCGTTGAGCCAGGTGGAGCCGGCCATCAACAACGCGCGGATCGCCGTCTGCATCGTCGCTTGCGAGCCCAACGAAGCCCTCGCCAGCACACTCGCACGCAGGGAGCATGTCTGAGCTGATGGGTGCAGCCAGCAGTCGCAGCTCTCTCGCAGTGACACCCACGAAAGAGGCAGCCGCGTTGATGGAGGAAAGGGAGGGGGAAGGAGATGAGGAGGTGAGTGGAGAAGCTGTGGGAGCGCAGAAGGCACATGTAGGTGAGGTAAGGGAGCAAGTGAATGGCAGTCGACACAAGGTTGGTGGAAGTGATGGCGGTGATGATGCGAGTGGTGATATAAACGCTGATGGTGACGGTGGCGGTGGTGGTGAGCATGACGAGGGTGGGCCAGCAGAGAGCAGTGGCAGTGATGCTGCGAGCGAGTCTGGTGACGATGGTGACGCAGGAGGTGCAATGGAGGCGGACGTGAGTGCAAGGCCGATGAATGATGACGAAGAGAGCGACGATCAAGGGGGCGAGGAAGATGATGATGATGAGCACGATAAACACGGGAGGAAGGGCGACCACAGCGGAGACGGGCCATCGAATCGCAGCAGCAGTGACAGCGACAACAACAACAGCAGCAGCAGCAGCAGCAAAACCGGCGAAGAGGAGCAATTGATACACGCGCATGATCAGGGGGAGGGGGCGAACGATGCCGTTGCTCAATCGGCAATGGGCAGGAAACGTGCTGACACAGCCACGCCAACCGCCAACGATGGATCTGATGGGGAATTAACGGCAGTGCCATCAACAGCAACTCGCGACGATGGCGACGATGCTGGTGATTTTGATGATGGGGGATCGCCTCGACCACCACCACCACCGCTGGTGACAGCGCGAGATGGACGCGCCAGTGAGCGGGATGAGGGAAGCGCAACGCCAACACCAACAGCAGCCAACCATCGCGTTGACCTGGAAGGGGCAGTGCACACGGATGACCGAGATGGTGGTGTTGCCAATGTTGGCGCTGGCGCTGATCGTGCCGTGGGTGATGCTGGCACCGCAGCATCAAGAGTGACAGAGCCAGATGAAGGCAAGATGGCATCTCCTGAAGCATCTCACTTGCAACGGTCGCCACCATCGCCATCGCCATCACCATCACCATCATCACCATCGCCATCGCCATCACCATCACCATCATCTCGGCATTCTGCAGCGGACGCCAGCGACAGCGACGATGAGTTCGCTCTCCTGCTCGAAGAGGAAGAGAAGGTGTGTGTGGGGGGGACGTGTGTGGATGTGTGTGGATGTGCGTGTGTGTGTTGTGTGAATGTGCGTGTGTGTGTGTCGTGTGCTCTGTGTGTGCGTGTGTGTGTCGTGTGCTCTGTGTGTGTGTGTGTGAATGTGTGTGTGAATGTGCGTGTGTGTGTGCGTCTGAATGTGTGACGTTTACATGATTTTGTTGGCAGGCCTGTCACTCTGGTTCAACACAACATGTTTTTCACGCACCTGCTGCAACAAACACACATGCACACACACACGCGTGCGCGCACACACACACACACAACTCACACACACACACATGTACAGATTGAAGGGACACTGGACCTGTCCAAGGCGGTGGCAGCGCGAGAGGCGTGGCTGCGTGAGGTGGAGGAAGAGAACAAGAGAAAGCGCAAGGAGGAACGCAGACGTAGACGCAACCGTGGTGATGGCGACGACGCTAGCGACGCCGTGTCACTATCAAGCGGCCCTGGTGCTGGCGGTGGCGAACGCGATGGCATGTCACCACGGCGGCGCGGCTCGATCCGCAGCTGGGCGTCGCAGTTTATTCCGTCGTCATCGTCGTCGGCAGCAGTGGAGTTCACATCCCGTGAACAAGGACAGAGCTCGCACGTGCGCAGTGGCAGTGGTGGCGCTGTTGGTGGTGGTGGTGGTGGCGGCGGCGACGTTGTGCTGAGGAACGGCAGCAGCAACGGGTTGGCGAGCAGCAGCCCCTGTGCACAACCAAAAGCGTCGCTGTCGCCATCGCCATCAGCAACACTTGTGGGCACGGGTAGCGTGACCTCTGCTGCGAGCAGTGACCGTGCGAGCCCCTTTGAACGCCCGCTGCTGTCAGCACGCGACATCAGCGCATCGACTACGACGCTACAGTCGTTCAGCCAGGACTCTGTCTTCCAGTTTGGCGGTGCTGGTGAACATGGAAGCCGTGTTGGTGGTGATGATGATGGCGATGGCCATGGTGATGATGACACAAGCAGCATCGGTGGTGGTGGTGGTGGTGGTGGTGGTGGGGACTTGGACAGTGACCGTTTTGTGCTCGGAGTTCGACCAACCTCCATCTCAAGCGATTTCAGCCTGTACGTTGAAGCCGGCGGTTGTGCTTGTTTTGTGGTTGATTGTGTGTGTGTGCGTGGGGGGAGGGAGATGTTGTGTTGTTGTTTGTGGATTGTGGAGGGAGGCTGTGCCTTGGAGTTGGGCTCTTGTTTCCTCTCTCATACACACACACACACATTCTCTCAGACACTGGCCTTCATCCAACCCACACCGGCTGTGCGACCTGATGCCGATGTTGAACGAGCTTCACCTCGCTTCCAACCTCCTCCGCTCGCTGGACGGGCTGCAGAATCTGCGCTGCCTGGAGTACTTGGACGTGCGCTCAAACAGACTCGACGCCCTCACTTCCATCGAAGCCATTCGCACCCTGCCCAAGCTCAACCAGCTCCTGATCCAGGTTGGAGTGGCTGGCTAGTGGGCTTGAGTGGTCTGGGTGAGGATCTTTGCATTGCGTGTGATGATGGGGTTGTTTGCTGCTCCACATGCAAGTTCGGTGTAGTTGCGGCTTTTCATTCACCACACGACACATACACAACACAACATAACACGACACAACACAACACAACACAACACAACACAACACGACACAACGCACACCACACAACGCACACCACACAACGCACACACAACACCCTCTCCTCTGCCTGTGGTATTGTGCTGTCAGGGCAACGGGCTGTCCCGCCAACACAAGAGATATCGCAAGACAATCTGGCTCTTCTTTGGTGGTGAGTTTGCATCGTCTGCTCTCGTCCTAGTTTGCCTTGTGTTTGTCTTCTGTTAACTTGGCGGGAGGTTTGTGCACTCGCTGCCCTTGCTTCTGCTTCTTCACCTGTGTACTTGCTGACTGAGCTTTTGTCGTCACGCTTTTTGTTATGTTAACTCTGCCCCTGGCATTGTTATCTCTGTGTACGTGAGCAGGCGCCAAGTTTATTATTGATGGACAAGAACCTGCAGCGTAGAGTAGCGTTGAGTGCGTGTGTGTGTGTGTGTGTGTGTGTGTGTGTGTGTGTGTGTGTGTGTGTGTGTGTGTGTGTGTGTGTGTGTGTGTGTGTGTGTGTGTGTGTGTGTGTGTGTGTGTGTGTGTGTGTGTGTGTGTGTGTGTGTGTGTGTGTGTGTGTGTGTGTGTGTGTGTGTGTGTGTGCGAGCCAGATAGAACACTGCCGACCAGCTTCAAGTCGGTGGTCCTTCCAGCGATGATTCGCTGTATTTTCCAATACATTTCACAACAAACGAGAAGACAGAAGCAAGAAGGCTGGCGGTGGCGCAACCATGAACGTGGACGATGTGGCGGAGCAGGTGTTGCGGGGGGAGAAGGACATCGAGGAGGTCCTGGGCCCTCTGACGGCCCAAGGGAAGAGGGAGCTCAACACGGGTATAGGCCTCCTGCCACAGAATGTGTTCGTGACTGTGCTGGAAGTATAGTGTTGCTGCAGTTGCTGTTGCTGTTGTTGTTGTCGTTGTTGCTGATTGAACTCGAACGAGTGCACACAAGTGCACACAGGCCATCACCTGTGCAAACATGCACACTCATGCACTGTCTCTCACTTGCAAACACCCCACAGTGATGGCGCGATCGGAGGCCCAACACAAGCCATTCGTGACTGCCCCTTCCACCCCCATGCCACCCATCGACGAGTACAACACCAAGGTGAGAAGGCTGACGTGCATCATGCCGTGCGCTTTGCACCCTCACACACACACACACGCATGCAATGGTTGCTCCAGTGTGGCAAAGACCAACATTGTGCTCATGCCTGATGTCACATCACATCACGTCGCAACATTGTTTTGCTGCGCTTTCCTGTTTTGCATCGTGCGTTCATGTCACCACACGCAAGCACGCGGAGTACGTGCACCCAAAGGACTACGTGAACCCAACGCCACAAGAAGAGCCATACGATCTGGTGGTTGTTGGAGCTGGTGTCGCCGGCCTGTTGTCCGTCATCATCGGCAACTCGCTTGGGAAAAAGTATGTGCTGCTCTTGGCACTGCATTGCGGCTCTGGTGGTATCACGATCGAAGTGACGCGCCACGCTCACACAAGCGCATGCGTGCATGCTGGGTCCTTCGCTGAATCGTTTGCTGCAGTTGTGATCCCCAATCCACATCGTCCACGTCATTCGCATGATTTGATTTGCATCGTTCACACTATTCACGACATTCACATGATTGCATCGCACCGATGTTGTTCAGATGCGTGCTGATTGAAGAACACTACATGGGCGGGGATTGCCTGAACGTTGGGTGCTTCCCGTCAAAAGTGCTCATTGCCAGTGCCAAGCGTGCCCATCAAGTGAGGACCGCGTCAGACCTGGGTGTCCGCCTTGATCCATCCCAGGGTAATCACGCATGTAGCTATTTGTTGTTTGTGTCTGTGTCTGCGTGTTTGATTGTGTGTGTGTGTCTGTTTGTGTCTGTGTTTGATTGTGTGTGTGTGTGTGTCTGTGTCTGTGTGTTTGTGTCTGCGTGTTTGGTTGTGTGTGTGCGTATGCCTGTGTCTGTCTGTGGCTGCGTGTGTGTGTGTGTGTGTGTGTGTGTGTGTGTGTGTGTGTGTGTGTGTGTGTATGTGTGTGTGTGCGGTATTTGCGCAACCTTTGGTGTGTCAAGGTCACACCTCTCAAATTCCTGTGAACTTCATCACGTGTCGCTCTCAGTTCAAGTTGACTTTCCAGCCATCATGCAGCGCATGCGACGACTGCGCAGCGAGTACGGCCTGCTCTCTGCAGCTTAGTGTGTGTGTGTGTGCGTGTGAATGTGCGTGTGTGTGCTGTTTGCACTACAATGCAGGCTTTCGTTTTGTTGTCACGTCCGCTCAGCCATTCCAAGAGACCCTCCCGGGTGCACCACTCACGTCTCACGTACGCAGCGCACACTCCTTGATGTTGCTCACTTTGCGTCAGAATTGCGCCCATCGATTCTGTTGAGCGGTACAAACGCGATTTCTGCCACGAAATCTTCATGGGTCACGCAACGTTCACGTCTCCGTCAACCATCGACGTGGACGGAAAGACAATCAGGTTCCACAAAGGTGCGCAGTGACTGCCTCGCTTTTTGAATGTCAGGTGGCGAGCACATCGATGACTGCGTGGGGTGGTCTTGTCACCGGATTGCGACGGGTGTCATTTTGTTTGTGCTTTGAAGTATACACACACACACACACACACACACACACACACACACACACACACACACACACACACACACCTCGCTCGCCTA